AAAACACAACCTCAATATTTTGCAAACAAGGTCCTGGAACCAGCAAGCAACACCAGGAATGTGGGCCACTGCTGTCATGACCAATGGCAAGATGGGGAATGGAGGATAATAGACAAGTAATAAAAAGTGCCACTAGGCTTTCTTACTGAAATTTAGCTGCCTCTTTCTTCATTAAGCGCTCCCCTGATTTCTGTATTTAATTTTTGACAATATTTATAACAGCTACTTTGACGTCTTTGCTAAGTTTGACATCTGGTTGGCTCTCACAGGCAGTTCTTGTTGGCAGCTCTCCCCACCCCTATAGTGTATCGGTTATACCTTTCTGTTTCTTTGCATATATTGTAATTTTTTGCTGAAAACTGGACATTTTAGATAATACAATGTAGTAACTCTGGATATTGATCTCCTCCCCCTTCTGGGGCTTGTTATTCTTAGTTGCTGGTTTATTTGTTTAGTGACTGGCTGAATTATTTTAGTGAAGCCTCTCCCCTACCCCACCCTGCAGTATTATGCCTCTGATGTTCTTTTTAGGGGGTGCAGACTTGGGCTAGCTTACCATCACCATGGAATGACTGACAGTGGTTTTGACAGTGCTGTGTTTGACTGCTCTTTCCCTGACCATACCCAGATGTTAAACCTCACTAATTACTGACTGACTATTGTTTTCAACAATGCCCTGGGGGCATAAATTGTTCCAAGGGCTAACCAAATTTGGGCCCCTTTGAAGGGATAGTTATTCAAGTCAGTGACTGAAATTTGTTCTGACCCCAGGAGGGCCCCCACTGCTCCCCTCCCTTTGTCAGCAAATCCCTGGCTTATAGATCTGTCTATATTTCTAATTAATCTATTGTTCCTTTCCCAATTGTCTGTTGACACAATCTCCTCTGTTCTTGAGAGTGTTTGGATTTCTCTACACTCTGTTGAAAATGAAGTCAGTTACTTTGGGAAGAGATTAGGAGCTATTTTTTTTATGACCTGCTTCCCCTTTCAGGCAAAATCTCTGAGCCAGGGCTCTGGATGTAGGGTAAGGACAATGGTGCCCTTCTTTCTGAGTGACACCTTATATTAAGAGCTAAGTGCTAAGCTGGTAAAGGAGGGCCCCAGATATTCTTGACTTGCCTGTCCTGGCTTGGAATGAGACAAAGTAAACAGAAATTCTGTCATCACATGGCCATTTTATTTTTTGCATGTGGAAAAACAGAGAGTGGACTTTGGGGCCACACTGTAGCCTAGAGTTGACTCCTAACTCTGGCACTAACTAACTTGAGTTGGGTAAGTGTATTACTTTTCCATGGTTGTGTAACAAATATCCATAAATTTAGAGGCTTAAAACAACACACATGTGTTATCTTATAGTTTCCATGGCACATAGTTGGGCGTGGCTTAGCTGGATCCTCTGCTCAGGATCTCACAAGGCTGCAATCAAGGTATGGGCTGAACTGCACTTTTATTTGATGCTCAGACTCATGCACTTGTTAGCAGCATTTGGGGCTGGGAGCTTCCATTGTTTGCACAGGAACTGAAGGCTGCCTGTTGTTCTTTGCCACATGGGTTTCCTAGAATGCTTTATCAAGCCAGTAAGAAGAGTATTTTTAATATAATATAATATAATATAATATAATATAATATAATATAATAATATAATATAGTCATGAGAGTGAGATATTCCATCACATTTGCCATATTCTATGAGTTAGAAGCAAGTCACGGTCCGCCCACACTCAAGGGGCAGGTGTTACACAAAGATACGAAACTCCAGGGGGCAGGGACCACAAGGGCTACCTTAGAGTCTGCTGCCACAGAAGTTTCTTAGTATCTCTGAACCTCAGCTTATTCATCTAAAAAAATGAGGATAGTAATAGTACCTAGTCTCAAAGTTGTGGTAAGAATTAATGTATGCAAAGCTCAAAATAACACCTGGCTTGTGGTACCTGTTCAGTAATAGATAGGCACTACTGTTGTTGGTGTTGTTACTAGATGTCTCCACAGTCCAGGAAACATTAACTCTGACAAATTTTCAGGATTCATTATTGATTTGTTTATGCTTCTCAGTAGTTTTTAACCAAATGGTCTGGGGTGCTCCTTGACAGTTCGCTCAGCCTCTTTCCTACCTCAGCCCGATGAATGTGTGGTTGAAGGAGTGGGGTGTTTATTGAGATACTCATGTCTGTGCATGAATATATGGGTGTCTTAGTGTGTTTAGACTGCTATAATAAAATACCACAGGCTGGGTGGCTTATGAACATCAGAAATTTATTTCTCACAGCTCTGGAGGCTAGTCGGTAAAGTGCCAGCGTGGTGGGATGCGGTTCCTCCTCCTGGTTCATAGCTGGCGCCGTCTCTCACTGTGTCCTAACATGGCAGGAGGGGTGAGGGGTCTGAGGGATCTCTCTGTAGCCTCTTTATAAGGGTGCTAACCCCATTCATGAGGGCTCCACCCTCATGACCTGAGTACCTCCCAACAGCCCCACCTCCTAATACTACCACCTTGCAGGAATAAGATTTCAACACGTGTGAATTTGGGGAAAAAACAAACATTCATGCCATAGCAATTGGCAGTGAGAGGGAGGGAGGAAGAGGAAACCTCTCTCCCTTTTTATTAGAGAGGGCACAAAAGTGGTATACTCCTGCATTAAAGAAGATATCAAGTCAGCTACAGCGCTTTATATTTTTACTAACATTCTCAGCTGTCTGATCCAAGGCTAGATCATCAACAAAACTGAAAATATGCTTATGGCATTAGCAAAGCAATTTAAAAATCTGATCTTTTGATTAAAGAATTAAAGCAGTAATCATGGGGAAAATCTGAGCCTTATTGGTCTTCCTTACTATTTGAGCAAATGAATGCACTGCCTCATTGTTTTTGTTTGAATTACGTAGGAAGGTAGAGGTAAGAAAACCATTTCCCCCCCAGTAATTCTGAGTACTGAAGACCTTGATCTGATTTGAATATAGCTGAAAATCTAGAACTGAAAATGTCTCTGAGTTAGCACTCAGCTTGTTTTTGCTTTACACGCTATTAGAGTAGCCTTCTTGGTTTGTATCTTAGATTAAACACAACAAATTGAAGGCAGTGAGAGAAGAGGTATATCTAGGTGAGTTCCTCTGACAACAGTCAGATGTGACAGCTGAGCGCTTGAGAGTGGTAGCAAAGCTGGTAACAATGGTAGAACAGCAGTTTGGGACCATTTATGACAAGGGTTAAATTGCACTATCCATCTCTATAGTATCATAGGACAGCACAGCAGCAAAGAAAGGTTATAATTTATTGAGTATACTCAGTTTAATCACAGAAAAATATGCTATACATTATTCTTTTAATGGCAGAAATAACATTTAAAAGTCATGTATAGAGCTGTGCTTTAGATTTTGTGGAAAATAAACTTACATATAGTATTTTATATATTAATAAATCTGGTTTAATAATACATGAGAGTAATATATCTCATTGGTGAGGGGGAAGGGCCAAAGGATTATGACAGAACAGAGAACAAAAAAGCACATTTTAGGTTTCATCTCCAAACTGTGATGGAGGCCATCTGGAAAAAATGCCCACAGCTGTCTTCCCTTTAACTCCATACCTTCTACTCTGGTTCTTAAGATCCTAATCCTCCCCACATCTAACATCAAACTCATCACCAGGCCAACAGTGGTGTCTGTGTCTGGCTTCTGCTCTCAGCAGCTCAGGAAAAACTCGACTGAGGGTAAAGTGTTGCTCGTTCCAGAAGACACTGTCATCTCGCTGGCTCCTGAGCAACCACGCCTGCGCATCTGAAGGCCTGGCTCCTTTCCTGCCTCTCTCTCATCCCTCACCCTTTTAAGTCCCTCTCCAACTTAGCTAGGTCAGGAGTTGCTCTTCTTTAAGCTTAATTTCTTAGCTATTAACAGCAGATGAATTTACAAACTATGTTTCTGTTATTCCCATTGGCAAAGCCTCCTTTTAATAGCTGGCATCCGTCCTGTTGCTGATGGTATGATGAAATTTTGAGTGACTGAGTCGCTCAGATGCATCTGTGGGAGGAAATAAAATGTCTTTTTCATCAGTTTCTGGCTTGGATCTCAATAGTAACACTGTTTTTGAAGTTCTCGAAGTATTGCTTTGGTCTTGGTTTTTCCCATAAAACCAAAGCATTATGATCTCTCCCTCCCCCCTCTCTCTCTTTACTTCAAAAAATACATATTGGGGCTTGGGGCCTCTTTTCCTTTACTTATACCTTTGGACAAATTCACAAAGATTGGTTTTACCTTCTTCAGATGGCCACGGTTTCCCTCTGGTCTTTATTTCCACACAGGAACCAAATGGATTAAATTTTTATTTCCTCCTTTGAAATTCATGCTTCTACAGCATGAGGAGTTTTAACCAGGGACGGATTTTAGAGCCAGTGGGGTACCAAGTGAGCAAAGAAGTCTAACAGAGAAGGTTCCTTTATTCTAGAAAACTCAAAGCGGATTGTTTGACATTTATAATTTATACCTTACCTTCTTCCAAAAAGATTTGGGGTGGCATACAATAAAGCGGACAGGTAGGAGGGAGGGAGGGCAGGGGCTCGGTATGGCAGGGTGGGGCAGGCAAATTCAGCCACAGCAATTTATTGGCACCTTTGGCTTACAAAGACCTATAGGAAGTTTCTGGCCTGAATACCTGTCCTGGTACTTTAACTTCTAGAAGTCACTTACAGCGACCTCCAGCCTGGAAAGGCCACCTCAGTAACAGGTTTGCAGGGTATCTCCAGAAGAGCAAGTTGTTTCCCTTCGTCCAAAGCTCTCAAATTTGTATGGCTGTATGTGCTTTGTATTTTTTAGTACATGATTTTATCTCTCTAGTTATGAAAGTTTCACTACAGCAAGACTATTCACATAGAACCAAACATTACAGTTACTAGTATGTGGAGTAATCCTCGTGCACATTAGGGAACGAAAGGGCAGGGTGGCTATTTGTTGGTACGTCATGCTATTTTACCACGTGACGATATCATCCCCACGGTTCCTAAACTCAGGGATCAATAGTTGTACTGGGCCCTGCTGCAGAAGATCATCTGTTTGAACGCTTCCCTGAGCTCTGGGCTTCGGAAGGCGTAAATGAAGGGGTCGATGACCGCATTGCACATGATCAACATGCCGTTCACCTGGAAGAGGGACATGTAGCAGGCGCAGTAAGGGTTATTTGGGCAGAACGTCATTAAGAGGACATGAAGAACAAAGGGGGCCCAACAAAAGATGAAGACCCCAAGCAGGATGGTCAGTGTGATGGCCCCCTTCATGTTGGCTCTGGGAAGCGTCGCGATCTTCCTGGCGTGGGAACGGGCCAGCAAGAACATGTGCACATAGAGGCCCAGGATAAACACCAGCATCAGAGGGAACAGCGACGTGAAGGTGATCACCGTGGGGATGTGGTGGGAGAAGATCACCATGGCGACACCACTGCCCGCGCAGCACGTCCAGATGACCGTCAGGACAGCAAGGGCGCGGCGCGTGGTGACAATGCTGTGGTACTGCAGGGCATGGAAGATCGTGAGGTAGCGGTCGGCGGCGATCACCGACAGGCTGGAAATGGAGCCGAGCAGGGAGAAGACGAACAGGGAGTCAACGATGTCATCCGCTGTGGTTTCAAAATTGCCATGAGGCTTGAGATAGCCCATGTTTCTGAGCATGATCAGGATATTTTCCAAGATCTTATACAGGCTTCCCAACATATCGGAAACGGCCAAGCTGCAGATAAAAAAGTACATGGGTGCCTGGAGGTTCTTATTCCTGATCACAGCCAGAAGGACGATCAGATTCTCCAAAACCCCGACGACGGATATTGTAAAAAATACCTCTTCTGGCAAAACCACATGAGGACAGTCCGAGTTATTTCTTGCCGTATCGTTGATGTTTTCATATAAATTGATGATGTGCTTCATTTCTCCTTGTGGTTAAGACCGTGGTGTTACTTGGACTTGACGGGAAGCCTGACTGATTCTTCAGAACCTTTTTATTTGGTTGTACTTGTGGGTGATCCGAGGTAAAAGCCACACAGTCACCTAAGAAAGAATATATGGAAATATCAGTTGCAAAATAAACTACAAAATAAAAACAAGCCATGTTAACTTCGAGAAAGCTCTGTTGCCTCAGTGAAATATGATGGTGTGATCATTTCAGTCAAACAACGTACCAGGCCTTCATCCTAACTGCTCAGTGACAAATCTTTACGCAATTTGGAGCCCAGAGATCAAAATAAGGGTTATCCTTCCTCCTCTCCCCTTTCCCTCCCCTATTCTTCTCATGAACCATCTTATGCGAGAGAGACTGGGATGGACAAGTGAAGAAGTGAAAGGCACATGTGGGGAGCTCGCCGCCGCCTTTCTTCGCCTTGGAGGTGGGTGCTGGGCTCGGTGGACTGATGAGATGTTTGGGTCCTTTCTCTTTCACTGGCCGTCTTTCTGAGTCACTGCCTGACCTTCTAGCATTTAGGATAACGGCAAACGTTTTGATGTACCGTTTCCAAAATTGACCATGTGATACACAGCATTATTTTTGTTTCAAAGGCAGAACTCACAGGAATGGTATTTCTGGAGGTTCCTTCCTTCCTTCCTTCCTTCCTTCCTTCCTTCCTTCCTTCCTTCCTTCCTTCCTTCCTTCCTTCCTTCCTTCCTTCCTTCCCTTTTTCTCTCTCTCTCTCTCTCTCTCTCTCTCTCTTTCTTTCTTTCAATATGATTTTATTGATTTTTAGAGAGAGAGGAAGGGAGAGGGAGAGAGAGAAAGAAGCATCGATGTGAGAGAGAAACATCTATCGGCCGCCCGGCCCCTGACTGCACTCCAACCCGAAACTGGGCATGTGCCCTGACCGGGAATCGAACCAGCGACTTTTCATTGCACGGGAAGCCTAACACATACTTATTTGCCTTCCACATTTTTACCACTGTCCTCCCTCTGCAATCCTCCAACTTCTCCTCTGTCTAAATCCTACATTTGTTTAAATTAAGCCCTAAGTCAAGATCAAGCATCTTTGAGTATTTCCACTCAGCATCTCAACCTGCGCGACCTTTCTCTGCTCTCACGTCTTGCAGTGTTTTGTTCTGGCACTTGGCACGTGGCGCACTCTGCCTGTGGGAAAGCTCAGCTTCAGGTGTTTATGTTTTGTCTCTGAGCAGCCCAGTCACACCCTGGAGGGCTGGCAAACCCTAAACCCCTTTCCATCACATCCACTCCAGTAACTGTTGGCATGCCCAATGTCTATTTGTTGATGTGACCGTCGTCTATTGAATAATCAATAGTTTGTTTCTAAAAAGATAGGTTTGGGGGAGACACATAAAATGCGCAAGAAACAGAGTTAGTGGTTTCACTTTTTCATATGTCAGAGCTTAAAAGTTTTAGTGGATAATGTTTCGGTTAAAACTTTGTGGGAAAATGTGTGCTTTTGCTGGAGATGAAAATCTTGCTTTCGTCTTCTTTTGAAGCAGTGCCAGTACCATGGACAGCCTTCACTCTGCTCTGAGGAAGGTGGAGAACCGGGTTGTGCAGGGTCCTGGAAAACAGCTCTATTGGCAAGCGCACGATCAACCGCTGGGAATATTTATTTTCAGGGAAAGGAGGAGGGAGTGGACATAGACTTCTAGGAGGAGTGAGAAGGTCAGTGTCAAACCCGGGTTTGGCCCGAAGCTCCAGGAGTGGTTAGTACCCTGGGGGGGTGGTGATGGGGGGCTGCTGGTGGGATTGAAAGTGCTGAGAACTTCGAGCCCTGCCTGAGTCCTGGCGAGGCGCGCTTGCCAGGGCCTCTGCTTTGGCGTTTCAAGGCATCCTGGCTACCTGGACTGGCAAAGGCTGTTAGAGGTGGAACGGTTCCCAACAGCGGCACCACGCGGCAGTGAAAAGTAAAGACCGTCGTAGACTGACCAGATGCCGGACGGTCCTTGCTCAGCTGTGGAGTCTATAGCCCCTAGGGTTTTAGAAAATCCAGGGTACAGGGGCAGCCCAGAGGAATATAGTGGCTTTTCCCCAAACTTAACACGTTGGCGCTTGAACATTTAATTCAAATATTAATATATGTGACTGTTTTTACCACTATGCTGTGGAGCAACCCATACTGGTTATATGAAGCCTATATTAAAATTTGAAGTTTATGAGATAAGCACTATAAAGAGTACTGTATCATTCTAATAAATAATAGTTAGGAAACATGTACCATAATCAAAAAGTTTAAGCCCCATATTACCAATATCAAGGGATTGAAATGTCCACTAATTTCAGGCCTCTTGGTAGTAAGGTAATAGGTCTCTTAGAAGCGGGTCATTCTCCTCCGTGACTCTGTACCAGGTCTTTTCATTCAGGATAAAAATACTGATAATTATCTGGGATGTTGTAAAAAGTAGTCATACTCTGCTTTGGGTGAAAGTTGGAGGAAGGAAAGAGAAATACAATGCTTAAAGCAAATAGTTTTCTCTTAACATTGGAACCTACCAATGGCAGTTCGGAGAAATCAAAAGTGGCCGTTTTTGATAAATACACGAGGGAATGAGCACAGCTTGTCACCATCCCTCCTGCACTTCTGCTTAGGGTGCACTGAAGGGAGCTCTCCTCTTCCCAGTCTTTCTCAAGGCCTTACTCTCAGCATCCCCTCTATCCCTTTACCATTTCTATCCCTTTAGGGCTTTGCACGTGTGCATATGTGAGTATGCATATACATGTATATGCATGTGTTTGTATGTGTTCATGTGTATGTGTGTACACTCATGTGTTTGGGAGGGAGATGGGTGGTAGGCAGCCTAGGGAAATAAAAATATAATCTATAGCTGTTTTTATAAAAAGAGTGGGACTTTTGTTCTAAAGAGTGCAGGTCCCCATGACGGAGCCAACCAAGCGAAGAGTCAGTGTCTCAAGTCTGCAGTGGCTGCCTGGCTTTCTAAGTGATAACCACTTTGGAGGAGTTTGTGATAATGAATGTGTTTTCCATTCTTATTTGTGCTGTACCATGTTGCTTCCAAAGAAGTCAGAGGACTACAGAGCTAATGGACGAGAAAGGCAGAGAGAGCGTATGCCGTCCCACAACCACAAGTAACCCACATGCGTGTGTTAATGGCAGAGCTGCGGGAAGTCACCGCGTACCAGCTTTCCTAATTGCCGTGGCAGCAAAGCTATGGTGCTTGCAAAAACAAGAGTTAATCAGGTAAAAGGGTGACTCTCGTGAAAGGGTAAAAGAAGCACGATTTTTTCACCCCTATTTCCATTAAGAAAAACCTACCATAGCCCTTGTATGGATCCTGATGATAATTTAAAGACTAAGAATATAGAGAAGCTAATGAATTCATCAACAAGGAAGGCTGCTTCAGTTCGACAAACGAGAATAGATTTTATTGTTATAATTCAATGAGAAAAATGATATACTCCCTCTGGAAGGATGAAAGACCATAAGTAAAAGGATAATCTATTAGGTGGAATTCTAAATACAACCTTTCCTCAGGTTTGTTTCTAACTGTTCTATTTATCATCCCTAAACATTTAAGAACCTGAGAAATTAGTAGAAAATGCACTTACCTTCAGCTAGCTCTGAAGTAGGAACTTTCTGGCTGCGATGACTGAGAACGAATGAGGTCTGAAAGAAAAGCCAGCCAGTGGACCTTGGGCCAGGCAGCACCGGAACATATGCATCACTGGGAGAGACGGTTAGGCTGTTATCATAACCTTGGAAATGTCACATGCAATGGGGCTGCATATTTCTGCTAATGTGAAGTCGAAGACACAGATTAAGACATAATTTCCATGGGCTCGGCTAGACGAAGCTACTTCCAAAGTTTATTGCAAGGTTTATGGCACATTACAGAATTGGGACCTTGCTCCTTTTAACATCAGTTTGTAGTTGCATTTAATTTCCAACCAAGAAATTCAATCAACTGGGGTCTTGAGGAAACGGTTTTGGAAGAATTTATTTTAAAATTTCCAGAAGACTTTTAAAGACATTTTGCAAGCATTTGATTCACTAATTTCATGAAGAAGGAAGGAATAACCCTATTATCCACATTTCACAAGGCTGAGCAGTGAGACGGGGCTGTGTGCTCAAGGGCAGCTAATGGGACATGGGCCAAGACAAGAAGGGAGGCCTCATGTTCTGCCAAATCTTCTGTCATAAAACTTCACAGAAACCACCACCAATCCCTCCATTATTCAAAGCAAAATTGTTTAGTTTTTGGGGTACAGCATTGCTGGTTTTCTGTTTGCCAGCGCCTGCAGGGAAGGACTGATATGCATGTGTGTACATGTAAATGCAAGTGTATGTATGTGTACGTGTGTATGTGTGTACATGTGTGTGCTTGTGAGGAGAATGGATGGCAGGGATATCTCAAGGCAACCTACGGAACTAAAAATCTGAGGAACAGCTGTTGGTATCAGGCACACCGGCCTGAATGTTTAAATATAGCACGGGGCCAAGTTTGGGGATGGACTGGAGCTTCAGGGCTGATTCCAAAACCAGAAACCATTCTGAAAATATCAGCTCCAGCCCCGAGCTGAAGGATGTTCCCATGTGGGTGGTCTGGAAAGGACTGAGAACAGAAGCCTGAGTTTGATTTCCCAGAGGGGAAACACATTTTGACCAAGCGCCTTTCCTCTGGCCTGTCCCGGAGGCGAAGCATGTTCTTCATGGGCCCTGCTGGACTCAGGGTCATTCCAGGCTTAGGACAGTTTGGGAGCAGCTGTGTGCCTGGCAACATGCCATGGAGCTCAGATGAGGGTATTCCACATGCCTTTTCTCCCCACCAGAGCCACACAGTCGAGACAGTATATGAAAGCTGGGCAGTACCTCCAGAAAGCCACTGTCTGTGTCGCCTGGAAGCGACACCTACCTCGAACTCAACTCTCAGATTTGCGGTATCACAGAAATTTGTTAAAGATCTGTGGATCTGATTAGCGGGCTGGGAAAACTGGTGGCAGGGCCCAGAAGCGGCCCCAGGCAGGCTGCGAGATGCAGGGGGTGATGGAGCACGGGGTGCTCTTTGGAGAAGGGGAATCTCAGCAGATTAGCTCTGTGTGGAGACCCGGGCAGCTCCGTTTAGGAGAGATGAGAGATTTCGAGGAGGGGCAAGTTGGTTAAGGGTTTGCCTAAGCCCTGGAAAGAGAGCAGACTTTGCTATCTTAGTTCATTTTTTTTCTTGTGATGGAGGGTGCTCATCTTACTCTAATTATTCAAGAAAATGGGGCAAAAATCCCTTGCAAGGAGCAGAATAGAAAGGACATGAGATTTAAAGCCAGAAGACATGGGTTAGAGTCCTCGCTCTGCCAGGTCTCTGGGCCTATAATTTCCTCATTTTACAAGAGGGTTGTTGGGAAGATTAAATGAGATTGGTGCTGTGAAAGTGTTTAGAGAACCGTAAAATCATACACCAGTACCTCTGGTGCTTGTATTCTGGTCCAAAATGTTGAAATGGTGGTTGGTTTTTAAGGGATAACTTAGTCAGAGGTAGTTCACTCAGCTTGTGAGCTTGTGAGCTGAGGTGCTGCTGGAACTGTAACAGGGACGCTGCAGGTGAGCCACACTGTCCACCCCGCCCGGCCCCTTCCCTCCGAGGGGGGTCCTACTCAGTGTTATGCCTCCATTAGGGAAAGTGAAAGAGAGAGAGAGAGAGAGAGGTGGGGAGGGAGGTGGAACTGGGAACGAGAGAGCAGGGCAGAGACCTGTCCTTCAGATGTGCAGGGCCATGGCCTTCGGACAGCCTTTCAAACGCCGGGGTTGGAAGGTAACTCCGTAAAGCGAAACACACTCCTCCTGGGTTTCTCCTTTACTCACACACTCACAATACTCCTAATACGAGAAGCGTGGGTAGTTTTCCACAGATCAAGCAATTATCTGACACCACCTGGGTGTCCTACAACCTAATTCAGTTCTGACACAAGCTCCCCCGAGAGAGCATCAGTTCCCAGAGGTTAAGGGCTCAGTCCCACAGGACTGGCCCCACTTCAGACGCCAGTTGCAAGGCCCAGCTTGTCACATGCGCTGAATAACCTGCTATAAGTCTAGGTTTCTGCAACCCCCTCCTTCAGTGGTATAATCTGCTTGAGCAGCTCACAGAACTCAGAGAATCACTTATGTTTATTATAAAGGATACAAATGAACAACCAGATGAAGAGATCTGTAGGGTGAAGTCTGGGAGGGTCCTGAGTGCCAAAGCTCCTGTCCCTGTGGAGCTGGGGTGCACCACCTTTCCAGCAAGTGGAAGTATCCACCAACCTGGAACCTCTCCCGACCCTGCACTTTTGGGATCTTTATGGAGGCTGAATCACACAGGCATGATCAAAGGTTTGCCTCATTAGAACAAATCACACTCTTATCACCCAGGAAATTCCAAGGGATTTAAGAACTCATTGCCGGGAACCGGGGTCAAAGACCACATATTAGGACAAAAGATACTCCTAATGCTCTTATCACTTAGGAAATTACAAGGGTTTTAGTAGCTCTGTGCTAGTAACTGAGGACAGATCCATATATATCGCAAACATCTTTGAGGAAACAGGCTGTTGAGCAATAATGATTTACATAGCATTTCCTCTGTGCCAGCCACTATCATTGTTCCAAGTGGCTTACATATGTTGACATTCGATCTTCACAACAAACGTGGGAGATGACCTTACTGACTTCATCTACAGATGAGGCTCGGGAAGTGCAGTCACTTAGGTGGAGGCATGATGTGCACTTAGGATTTTATTCTGAGAATGATGAGAAGTCACTGGGGTTTTAGGCAGAACAGCGGCACGACCTAATTCAGGTTTTCAAAGGATCCCTCTGGCTGCTCTATGGAGAATGGATGGCAAGGACAAGAGGGGAGACGTCGGGAGCAGCTGTACAGGTGGGGGCCTAGTTGCAGTTTGGCTGAGGAGGGAATGAAGAGTGAGGAGGCGTGAACAACAAGTGTGGACAAGTCTTCTCAGAAGCTTTGATGCGAGGGGGTGCAAAGGGAATGCTGGCTCGGGGGCCAGGGCGCTGTTCTTTTTAGGAAGGGGTCTCCTGGGCATGTTCGTGTATGGATGGGAACACCCAGCGGAGAGTGGAGACCTGGTGAGTCGCGTGCCAGTGCCAGACAGACTATGTGGGACAAACGCTCTTGAGAACGCAGTGGGGACACGTCCGCCAGAATAACAAGACGCTGTGTGGGTCGCCATGGCCTACTGTTGGGCAGCTGAGGGCCCGCTGCCTAGTTGTTTATTTTCTCACAGAAATATGAAGCAAAATTACTTTAATTTGATTTAACATTTTGGTAACTCCACCAATATCTTATGGGAAGAGCTTCAAAGTCACATTGTAAAGGGCCTAGAAGAACTGCCGCCATTTTTACAATAAATCTATCCTAATTTACATAGTGGAAACGACATAGATTTTGGAGTCAGATCAATGTTTGATCACTAGTTCTCTGCTTACTCATTTTATCACTTTAGATAAATTGGCCATAATTAAATCTATCTTATAAATGGCACATACTTGTTAGTTTCCTTCCCATAGATGCTATGTAGGGAATGGAGTATGACATTTTTGTATTATAATGTGCTATGGAATGAATTGTCACCGCCAATCCCCATTCATCTGTTGAAGTGCTAACCTTCAATGTGACAGTATTTGGAGATAGGGTCATTAAAAGCATAATTAAGATTAATGAGGTCATAAAGGTAGGGCTCTGATACAATAGGGCTGGTGTCTTTATAAGAAGAGAGACACCAGAGATCTCTTTCTCCCCACCCACACAGAGGACAGGCCACATGAGGACACAGTGAGAAGGCAGCTGTCTATCAGTCAGGAAGAGAAGTCCCATCAGAAACCAATGCTGATGGCACCTTGATCTTGGACTCCTGCCTCAAGAACTGTGAGAAAATAAATGTCTGTTGCCTGAATCACTCAGTCTGTACTATTTTGTTATGGCAGCTTGAGCAGACTAATACATAATGGATATAATTGTTAAAATATAATGTGTTCTATCTTTATTTGATAAACTCAGTGTACTATTAATATTTTCAGCATCTAGTTGTGCCTTAAGATCATTGTTTTGAACGCTATCCTCATGTTGTAAGCATTCAAAGGTTAGTTAATAAAGAATTTTATTTCACAGAATAACTCACAAAAATTTACTGTAAATGCATTTGTATAACAATGACAAGTGATTTATATACACATTTAACAGTACATATGTGTATATTTAATCTTGTATCTAATACACATATATTTAATAATAGTGCCTGAGCTTAGTGTACTACACATAGTAATTACCTGAAACATTTTTGTTGGACAAACAATAAATAAACCTTGAATACTGAGATGGAACAGAAGGCACAGTTTTCTCATCTGAAGAGCTGTGAAGGCTGTGCTCCGGTAGGAGTAGAAGGATGAGGTCCTTGTCCTACCTTGTGCTGCTCTCTCCCAGCACCTCCCAGGCTTTCGGGACTGTCGGCCAGGTGGGCTGCTTTTGCTCTCTTCCCACTTTCACTGCTTTCTCTCTAGGTGATGTTTCCTCTGCTTTATTCCTGGTATCCTGGATACCTCACCCTTCTTCCAACTTGACCTATTTTTTCACTTATATATCATGTCTCCTTTGGAAGAGACCACTTGGTA